TGCTGTGGTCTGTGCCTTCACTGCGAACTGGAAAACACTAGAAGTCCACTCTCTTTGGCTGCAAATTTGGGGCCCTGAGGACTGTTTTACATTTTGAAGAGTTGGGGGTTACTAAGGATAGGCTCATGGTTTCCTTGTCAATACAATTCTCTCAAAAACTTACCGGGTTTCCAACATATTTGCTTCCAGTCAGTGCAATATAGCATTACTCACAAATTCCTTTTCTAAACACAGTTCTTAAATCTGATTTATTTTTCTCATTCAACTTAATCTTGAGGGCATCTGAAATAATGTCTCCCACTATTTGGGGTCCAGAAGCTATTCAATTTTGCAAGTCCCTCTATTTCCTTCCATCCTTGTTACAAAACACTCAATTCTTGCCTGTATAATATCTTGTTATAGCAAGGGGGGCAGCTACACTCAGTAACGTTTTGGCTGTTTCCAACCCCTTCCCCTCAAGCTAGAAGCTAAGCAGGCACATGGCCTGCTTTCCAAATATCAGAGTGACGGTGTGGTATAGCCACTCAGCCACATAGCCAGCTACCTTGGAAGAAAAGCAACTAGGAGTCACCCAAAATACCCTCATATTATAAATTGGAGATGAATTGCATGTTCTCTGATTACTTCAAAACTGCTGCGTTTTTAAATTACTTGTAATTTCATTGAGGGAAGTAATGAAGTCTTAGAATTTTCTGCCTGTAACACAGCCTAACAGTCTTTTTGTGTGTGTGTGTGAGGAAGATTAGCCCTGAGCTAAGATCCATCACCAATCTTCCTCTTTTTGCTGAGGAAGATTGGCCCCAGGCTAACATCCGTGCCCATCTTCCTCTACTTTATGTGGGATGCTGCCACAGCATGGCTTGACAAGCAGTGCGTTGGTGCACGCCCGGGATCCGAACCTGCGAACCCCGGACCTCTAAAGCGGAGGGCGCGCACTTAACCGCTACGCCACCAGACCAGCCCCTGAGCCTAACACTCGTGAGTCACTTCATGAATACTTATTGATAATCTTACGCTCTAAAGAAACACAAATTATTTTTTATAGCTGACTGAGATCTTTTCTGATTTTCCTATCCCATTTTAATTGTTTTACAGATCCAGGTAGGATAAGACAGAATAATTACATTATAGTTTGAGTGTGGATGGGAGCAGGGAGAGCACTGTATTCATATATACATGTTGATTTTCTCTTTATCATTCATGCAACCAAATTGTCATGTGCCAAGAGCTCTCTGCTTAGGATACAATTGTGTGTGTGTGTGCGTGTGTGTGTGTGTGTGTAAGTGTGAATGTGTGCTTTAAGATTGATTTTTAATAAACATACTTGAAAATTAAGGTAGGAATCAATGATCACTAATTGAAACATATAAATTTTTGCTTTACATAAATGATAATTCAGAAGATCATCTAAGTACTATTGTTAGTTATTCATAGGAACCTTCTCGAAAAAAAGAACAATAACAGACTGTAAGATCTAATAGATTGTAAAATATAATAGACTGTAACCAATTGGTTAACAACAAAATGAAATACTAAACTAAATTAAAGAGCTTGAACCTTTATAACAATTTACAAAACTCTATTTAACCTAATAAATAAGAAAAATCTGCTTTGGATTACAAAAAAGAAACATTCTAGAATGTCGATATAAGACTAAGAGAGCCATAGATATTGTTCAGAGATTCTTATTAGCTCTTAGTTAACACGGCGCTTGATCTGGATATTTACATTGATTATGATTCCCACTTATCCAACTTTCTGGGGAGGAGCTAATTGGATGGTCTTGGCAGGTAACGTCCCTTTGAGGAACAGGCACAGGACAAGGGACACGACATCAACTAAAGGATATTCCAGCTGAGCCAGGGGCTCAAAGGGAAGAGCGGACTGTAAACAAGAAGAATATATTCTAAACTCTTCCTTCTCTGGTGAACAGTAGAGTCTATCAATATATTTTTTTTATTAAGAACTATATGGCATCAGGATGAGAGTGTATGACCCAGCATAGCTCAGCTTCTACCACCACCCTCTTACTAAGGCAAATAACCTCTCCCCTGAGATCACTAAGCCAGTCCCAATAACCTATGAAATTTTAAAGCAAAATACTAGTTTTAGACATATCTACAAAGTATTGATCCATGAGTAGTCACAAATTACAGCTCATTTGCTTTGATTATGACTCTGAAAGATACATCAATAGCCACAATAGAAACAATCAATTTCCCCCTTATTTGTCAATATTTGTCCACTATCTGAACATCAAAATTGGTATAATATTTTTGTTTTTGATGATGAAAGTGAGCTCTTGAGGTTGATGAGAAATGTGAGATGTAAAGTATTTTGGGCATCAATCAGGAGCAATTTGGATCTGTTGTATCAATATCTACCGGGCATCAATTGGAAGACAGTGTTTAGATATCAGGGTCATGGAGAAAAGTCATCAAGTCAAAGTGTTTGAAATCATTCTAAGTAGGGCTGAGTTTATTGGGAATCAGCTTTTTAACTACAGTTTGGTTTAAACACTCTGAATGATTAAGACATTTGAAGATGTATTATATTTTAGAATGGGCCACTATCTTTTATTAGGATCCTCATCTAAGCCAAAGGTGATAAAAATTAAAATTAGACACTAATGTTAAAATTTCAGTTATATAAGATGAGTAAGTCCTACAGATCTACTGTATAACGTACAGTATCTATAGTGAACAACACTGTATTGTATACTTAAAAACTTCCTAAGAGGCTGGATATTATATTAAGTGTTCTTATCACAAATAATAATAATAATAAACAAGGAGGGTAGGAGGAAACTTTTGGAGATGATGGATATGTTTCTGTCATAGATTGTTGATGGTTTCATAGGCTTATACTTACCCCCAAACTCATCAAGTTGTATACAGTAACTACGTACAGCTTTCTGTATGTCAATCACACCTCAATAAAATGGTTTTTAAAAATTCCAGTAATCTATTATGGTAAATATTGATGAAATCTGGTTGCATAATATAGAAACATAATAAAATTAAGAATTACATATGACTGGTTATTCCAGCTAAGCAAATGGTACCCATTTGAGAATTAAAATATACCTTAAATTGTCACCATTTTAGATAGAAACAAGTTTAAAACGTATTGTTCAGAGCTATGTTTTCTCATACAGAGTAGGCCAAACATTATTTAGCTGTGTCTTTATAACTCAGGTGGATAATGATATTTATCTGTTAATGCCTGGTATCTGTCAAGGTCCAGTCAGGAGGCAGAACTTGCGTCTATCATTTTAATGCTAAGAATTTAAAATATGGGATTGTTAACCATGTATAAAGTTGTTAGCTAGGTAACTAAAGAGAGAAAAAGAAAACATGAAGGTATGATGGAGAAAGCCACTGCAAGAAAGACATAACACCTGTAGGACAGAGGGAACAAAGGGAACAGGGTGGAATTATTGAGGCTTGGAACCTTGAAGAGGGGGTGCTGCAGAGCTGAAACTCAGCCCACTGAGGAGGCAGCACTTGTCTGCTGGTATTGGTGCTCCTCAGATTGGAAAAGGGGCCATGCGGAGCTGGGAACACAGACCTCTGAGAAGGCGGCACCCGTTTGCTGGAGCGAATGTCTTTGACGATGGCATGATGCAGCTGTTTCTGCAAGCGTTGGAGAAACTGCCAACTGGAGTCAGCTGCTGTGATGGGAACAAACTGCTGTTGCCAAGGTGACGTGTTGCTGGGGTGAGGCTCATAGAAATGCAAGTCCAGAAGAAGCCCATAGGAAGCAGACAGGGAGGAGCAAGTTCCCTCTTCCTCCTCCAGACTTGTGGTCTCCTACAGGCACCCCCTATTGCCAAAGCCTAACAGAGAGTCAGCTGGCAAAGCAAAAATGTGGTTTGCAAAGTTCCAGTTCTAGCATCACAAAAAAAGAGATAGAAGGTTGAGTTTGGTGCTGAAAGAAAACAGCATAATAAGTGGCACACGGCCTTAGGAGATAATGAATGTATGCATAGGACAGAGCACACCCTGTCAATGAAGCCTCCTAGAGAACCTGCTGACATTTTGCAAGCACCTTATTTCTCTTCTCTTCTAAATATGTTACTCATGATTTAGGGAAGAATGGAGAAAGCTTGTTCAAGGTACCTCTTTTACACATGACCCCAAAGCAACAGTGTCCAACTTTAAAGTGAGTCCATCTTTCTCTTACAAAATAAATTACATTGGCTAGTGACAATCATTTACCTAAATTTGTAGGAGTCATTATCACTTAGATTTGGAATCTGGGCATCATTTCAATAATTAAAGTATCAGAAGTCTGAATGATGATTTATAATTTCTTAGCTAGCTGAAGCAATCAGGATATTTCATAGCTCTCTGTATCCAATTTGTATACCTAACAGGTTGTAATAATCATCCAAAAGTACACGGATGACAGGTATTTTGACACTGTAAATATAAGAGATTTTTCCGTCTTGAATTAAGATCAAAACAAAATTTCTACGCCCATACGATATTGTATAGGACTTTGCATACATAAATTTCATTAGTTCTTATAATTCGTAAATTGCCAAGAAACATTTAATTTGGGAAAATATTACAATATATCAAAATTAAGCATAAAGCAATTAATTATTTCTGCCATATCCATGTCTATCAAATTGTTAGTTTAGTAATATTTAGAGAGAGCAATCCTGTTCCCTGAAGGGAGAACTAAAAATGTAACTCTTTAAAATAAGTATTTGTTTCTATCCTGCTTAAAACAAACAGCTTTCCAATGAAGCAATTCTTATCTTATTACACAGGCTTGATCTTGATACCTACATTTTGAAAGGCCTCATTATATTAACAAAGATTAATGGAGTTAGAAATGGATTTCACAGAGATTAAGTAGCTCTCTATAATTTTATCAGCTGACAGTTTTTTTTTTAATGTTTTCCAGTGGTAGTATTGAGGGAAAAAAACAACACTATGCATGTATACATGTCAAGATAGAGGATTAATAATATTTAAAGTACTCCTTACCTGTTGACATCCCAGATTTTACTAGTTGTATCCAGTGAGGAAGAAGCCACAAAATCACCACAGGAGTGCCACGTGCAGGACCACACTGCATGGTTGTGCCCTTCAAAGGTCAAAATGCAGTTGCCTTTGGTCAGGTCCCATAATTTAACCGTAGTGTCACCACTTGAAGTAGCCAACTTGTTGCCACTATTTGCAAGAACATGAAAAGGTAATTTGTTAAAAAAAATCACTTATAGTTAATTTATTTTTAGGGATGGTGCATTCTGTGAGTAATTTGTGTGTTTGTGTATCTGAATTATTTTTTACTTTTAATGCCATCTCTAACTGCCTGAATCTTATTTGAATCTATACAATTAGATACTTGTACTGTTTAGTAATTCAAGTTGATGAGAGACACTGCTGTTGCATACTTTCTAGATTGATTTTTCCATTTTCTTCCAGGTTAATTCACTGAATCAGTATTTTTTTAGCATGAGTTGGGGTCAGGGCTATGTGTTAAGCTCTGGGGATGATATGACCTCAGAATGATGAAAATTTCGATGTAGGCTAAGACAATTTCAAAAACATAATAAAATACAGAAAAGTAGGTCAGCATTCTTATGTTTGGATTAATTAAATGGTTCAGGAGTGCAGTTTGGATAATGAGGGAAGAAGTGAGTCAGGAATGAAGGGCTTTTGAGCTAGATCTCAAGGGATGAAAGATTTCGAAGTGCCGGGTAGTTGAGGATGAGTCATTGGATTTTCCAGTTAGGTCGTTAGTAGATGTTTAAAAAAGCAGTGGTTTTCACGAGGTGGACACAAAAGTTAGTTTAAGAAATGAGTGGGGATCAATGACATGAGCAGAAATACCTGGTTTTTTTAGGTAAGACATCGACTACAAGAAAATTTCAATTCCATTATCTTCTCCACATCCTTCTGCATTGCATGAGCCTTCTGTGTGTTATTACTAACTTCTTTCTCATTGAATATAACGAACTGCTTATTTCCCACCTTTCCCTGTGTTTCTGATGGAGAATTATTTCTCCTTCCTCCAATTCTACAGCATTAGGCATTATGGTTGACCAACTGAAGTGCTCATTAGATGCTTCCAGGATGAATAAATATATGAATGAGTGAATGAAGTTATGCTATAAATGAAGAAGAAAAGGTGGCCTGTATTTCTAAGAGAGAGAATGGCAGGATCAAGACAAGTCTTTTGCCTGCTTTTTTTTTTTTTTTTTGCTTATTTTTATGCTGAGAGGATTAAATATTTATGTGCAGAGGAGAAACAACCGCTGGAGAGGGAGAGATTAAAGGTGCTGCAGGCAAGGTGGATCATAGAGGGAAGAAGTCTCATTAAAGCTACAAAAAGGCATCTATTTTATTTTTCAAATTGCCGAGTTGAAAAATTACTCTATGATGGGTGGTCCCTCACCGATAGATATTACAAGCTGTCCTTTGCTTTGTAGCTGTTGTTTATTTGCATATATGTTTGCCATTGAATATTTTACTTTTTAATATTACAGACTGAATAATACATTTTTCTAAAAATATCTGAACACAAAAATAAAAAATAATTTAATCATGCTTCTTTCTCAAATCTTTCTTTCTGATGGGCTAGCATACGTTTTGCTCCAGGAGAATAATTACTAGGGTATATTTCTGCCCGTAGCTGAAAAATCCTTTCAGATAAGTTCTATATGCTTCTCTCTTGCTTTAAACTATGTGACAAGAGAAACAAAATTCACAATAGGAGTAATTACAACTGGAATGAAACAGTTGTAATTATCTTTATAAGTGCCATAAACTAATATTTTGTCAGCAATAAACATAAACAATATTCTTCATAAGTTTTTAGTATATTGATATTGTTGTTTATGTGTATGAAATGAAACTAATCCAAACTATGTAATATGAATTTATGAATTTCTTTGAAATATTTTCGCTTTTCAAAAGGCGTGAACTGAAATATGGAAAACGGTAAACCTTTGCCTCACAAAAAAATAAAGACATCTCAGAGGGCTGAGAGAGAGCAAGAGAGAAAGAATGGTGAACTAAAATTCAAAAGGTGCTCTAAGTCATGCAAAAGTCAGGGTTTCCCTCCGCTCCACACAAAGAGGAGGAGCCAAAACCCTCAAAAAGGGCAAAAGTGGATCTAGATTGTTAGCATATAGATTAAGTCATTCTAATTTAGGCCCTCAGCATTTTATAGAAAAAAACTCCACCAAATATAAGCTTACAAAAAAAAAAATATTACCAAACACACAATGGGAAATAAAAAGCTATGACTGAAGGTGAGGTCATAAAATTAGCAAAGGCTTATACTCTGAAGGGCTGTAGTTGTGGTAATTACAATGCACAGAATATAACTATGAATTAAATGTATAAAGAAATAACAGATGACATAAATTATCAAGCAACAAAAGATTATAAAATGAATCAGCAGATCTGAAACAAAATAGAACATTTAGAAATAAAAAAAAATCTAATTATTGAAATTAAGAAATCAGTGGATGAGTTAAATAGCAGATTAGACACAGCAAAAGACACAGTAAATGAATTGGAAGATAACCTGAAAAAAACATTACCTTTCCTAGAGTATAAATAGACCATGAAATGAAAACAGTATATTTCTTAGTTGGCTTGGGCTGCTGTATCTAAATAACATAGACTGGGTGTCATAAACAATAGAAATTAATTTTTCACAGTTCTAGAGGCTGGAAAGTCCAAGATCAAGGTGTTAGCCAATTTGGTTCCTAGTAAGGGCTCTTCTTGGTTTTGTGGATAGCTGTCTTCTTGCTGTGTCCTCACATGGCAGAGAGAGAGGAAGCTCTGATGTCTCTTCCTCTTCTTATAAGGGCATTAATCTCATCACGGGACTCTATTCTTATGAACTCAACTAAACCCAATTATCTCCTAAAAGTCCCACCTCCTTATACCATCTCATTGGCATTGTGGCTTCAACATATGAATTTAGGGGGGACACAGACATTCAGTCCATAACAGTATATAAGTTGAGAAATAGGGATGGTGGAATAAAAATATACATTTTTCTAATAAAAATATCAGAAGAGAATGATATAAAAATATGCATGCAACATTCAAAGAATTAAAAGTTGAGAATTTACAGAAACTAGAAAATTTAAGACTTAGAATGACAGATTCAGGAAGAAAAATATATACCAAGCAAAGTAAACAGTGCAAACAAAAAGAAATCTTTACTTAGATAAATTTCAGTCAACTACAGAGCACCATAGGCAACAACAATATTAATTAGAAGAATAGGGAGAAGAGGAAAAAAATAGAGGGAAAGGTTTTTTTTTTATTTACATAGTGCTTAATATGTGATAGAAACTCTGCTAAGCACATTGTACATATTCAATCCGCACAACCCTCCTATAGGACACCATTATTATGTCCAAAACATTTGAACATCTCAGACCTAGTAAGTGGAAGATCTGGAATTTCTTCAAAGAGCTAACAGAAAATAATGTTACTCTAAAACTAACAAAATCTCTCTCAAAACTTAGGCAAATAAAAATGTCTTCAGCTAAACAAAGCAGTCTTCCCCTACAGGAACTACTAAGAATGTATTTCAGGGGAAAAAAAAAAAAAATCCTAGAAGGAAGATTTGAAATGAAGGAATGGTGAGCAAAGAATTTGGTAAAGACGGCAGTATATCCAAATATTTGAGTACATAAATAGTGCTTGAAAAAATAAAAATTAAGAAAACAACAACAATCATACTGACAATAATGTTCCTGTGTTGTTTGGAAGGAAAGGTAATGCATTGATAAATTTTAGACTTTATTAAGTCTGCATAGTAAAATGTCAAGGGTAACCACTGTAAGAACAGAAATAAAGTAGATACCTTCTAGACCACTACAAGAAAGAAGAAACAGGTAAGAAAAGCTAACAATTATAAACCTTTATCCAAAATAAAGCAATAAAGGAGGGGAAAAAATACTAGAATAAGTGGTAAAAATAGAAAATGAACAAATTAAAGACAGTAAAAAGAAATTCTAACATAATAAATCCAATAAATACAAATGGACTAAACTGGAAGTTAAAAAGCAAAGATTTGTCAGTTTGGCTGAAAAGGAACAAATTCAGCTACACATTGTTTACATGAGGCACAGTAAACTCCTATGGACATACAAGGTTGAATGTAAAAACAAATGAAGAAAACACACCTAACCAAAAGGAAATGAAAATAAAGATGAAGTGGGTTACAATTGTCCCTCAGATGTCCAAAATCAGCAGGATACCAAAATCAGCAGTTGGTCAAGTCTCTTATATAAAATGGCGGGGTAGTTACATATAATTTATGCACATACTTTAGATCATCTCTAGATTACTTACAATACCTAACACAATGTAAATACTATGTAAATAGTTGTTATACTCTCTTGTTTAAGGAATAGTGACAAGAAAAAATGTCTGTACATATTCAGTACAGGCTCAACTATTTTAGGTCTTTCCAACAGTGTTTTTTGTTGTTGTTGTTTTGTTTTGTTTATAATCTTTTTTTTTGGGCTGAGGAAGATTCCCCCTGAGCTAACATCTGCTGCCAATCTTCCTCTATTTTGTATGTGAGTGGCCGCCACAGCATGGCCACTGACAGACAAGTGGTGTAGGTCAGTGCCTGGGAACTGAACCCAGGCCGCCGAAGCGAAGTGCACCAAACTTAACCGCTAGGCCACCGGAGCTGGCCCCCAACCATGGTTTTTCGAATCTGAGGATGCTGAACCCACTGATACCAAGGGCTGATTGTGTTAATATCAGACAGAAAAGACCTTAGGGCAAAAATGTGTTATTAGGGATAAAGAGAGTCCCTACATAATGATAAAATATTTCATTCCTAGAAACGTTTAAAAACTAAATTATATAACAATACTAAATGCATCTTAACTAATAAAAAGTAACAATGTTAGAACCATAGAAACAAAAATAATGAATGTATTATCAAAATGAAAGATTTGCACACCTGTCTCAATTTTGTTTCTAATTCAAAATATAAATAAAGATATAGAATATTTAAGAAATAAAAATTACAAATCTTAATGGCCATATATAAAATCCTTCACCAAATAATTAGTGACTACACATTCTTCTCAAGCACATTTATAAAAATAGCTAATATAGTAAGCCATAAAGCAAGTCTCAACAAATTTAATGTAATTGTTACCATATTTTCTCATCATAAT